CAGCAACATCTGGAGAGTCATATGTTCCCCAACTGCAACTTTAATCCTTCACCTCCTAATGGCTTATCTGATGGGATCTGCCTACATACCACTACGGCATTAACATTACTGTTGAATTTCTCATTACTGCATTTCTCTAGTTTCACAGTTTGCTGTTGGTGCATGTTTAAGCTAGACACATCTCTGTTTTTCCATATCCATAAGTTTTGTTATTGTGCTTTTACCATGCAGTCATTGGTCATTAACGTTCCTTGAGGGAAATGGGGATGAATGTGACTGTAGGGGAAGAGACGTGGTAGGAAGTGTAATGAATCAAATCATGTGCACTTCTCTCTTTAACAATGCTGGTGTTAGAGGTGTAAGACCCCCGTGTAGTTCAAAATCCATGTATAACTCTTATGCCCCCAACAGTGTTACAGAGCAAAAACAGTTGATTTGCACATGCACGCACATGTTCTTTCTATTGGGATTCGCTTCCATAGCACTGACAATATTTTTAATGCAGTATTCTGTGTGTTGTTGTTTAGTTGTTAAGACGTGTCTGCCTCTTTGTGACCACACGGACCAGAGCACGCCAAGCTCTCCTGTCTTCCATGGCCTTCCAGAGTTGGGTCAAATTCATGTTGGTCACTTTGGTGACCCTGTCCAGCCATCTCATCCTCGGTCGTCCCCTTCTCCTCTTGCCTTCACACTTTCCCGACATCAGGGTCTTTTCCAGGGAGTCTTCTCTCCTCATGAGATGGGCAAAGGACTGGAGCCTCAGCTTCAGGATCTGTCCTTCCAGTTCAAAGTAGCACCTCTCAAGAAACCTGTAGTGTAGATCAGGCTGACAAATAGTGACAGGTCTAAGGTAACAAGTTGTGGTATCTTACTGCATAGTTCAAAAATGTGCCTTTAAGGTTTTCATTACAGAGCACTAATCCTCAAGAATCACCATACGTTGTGTTCTGTCTTTTTCCTCTGCTACAGGCAGTTAGCTGTTGTTAACAGCTATTCTGGCTATGAGTGCTGCAAATGTAAATAGTTGTGTTGCTTCCAAATAATGATCTAATTCTGTTTTCTCTTTATTAGTCAAGTTGTATCCTCTTGTGCCTTTAAGGTTTTCATTACAGAGCACTAATCCTCAAGAATCACCATACGTTGTGTTCTGTCTTTTTCCTCTGCTACAGGCAGTTAGCTGTTGTTAACAGCTATTCTGGCTATGAGTGCTGCAAATGTAAATAGTTGTGTTGCTTCCAAATAATGATCTAATTCTGTTTTCTCTTTATTAGTCAAGTTGTATCCTCTCCTATATTACTATTTCCATTTATTTTACTTCAAATATCAATCACAACACTCTGTACAGTACTTTTTATTTCTCATTATGCATCAGAAATGTTCTCGCTCTCCACATTTTTACATGGTTGTATTATCTATTTATTTGCTTGCTACTCAATTAAACAAATTTCACCAACCTGTGATAAATCCACAATTTTATGTATTTTTCATAGATGTCTACATCTTCATACTGTGTGCTGGGCTTTCAAACCAAAAGAGAAAAGTCTAATGAAAATTATTTTTTAAAAGCACTGAGTTAATGGTTCAGAGTTTAAAGCTGCCAATCATGTGCTGCTGTGACTCAAGAAAGAGACTCTGCATGACAGTTTGGTAAACATGTTTTGTGTCTGCCCTTTCCTCCATAAGAAAGATATCTCAGTATTTCTTCGTGGACTCTGTACTTCCAGGCTTCTTGGTTTTCTCTTTCCCTTTCCTCTTTAGGGTAAAAGCACTGAGTTAATGGTTCAGAGTTTAAAGCTGCCAATCATGTGCTGCTGTGACTCAAGAAAGAGACTCTGCATGACAGTTTGGTAAACATGTTTTGTGTCTGCCCTTTCCTCCATAAGAAAGATATCTCAGTATTTCTTCGTGGACTCTGTACTTCCAGGCTTCTTGGTTTTCTCTTTCCCTTTCCTCTTTAGGGTCCTTCCTCTCATGGACTCTGTACTGCCAGGCTTGTTTTCTCTTTCCCTTTCCTCTTTAGGGTCCTTCCTCTCTTAATTTGTTGTTGTTGTTTAGTCCTTAATTCATGTCCGACTCTTCGTGACCCCATGGACCAGAGCATGCCAGGCCCTCCCGTCTTCCACTGCCTCCCGGAGTCGGGTCAAATTCATGTTGGTTGCTTCGATGACAACAACAAAGCCCAAAAGGATATGGACTCAAATCATGGGACTCAGTCAAGTCAACATCAGGGTCTTTTCCTGGGAGTCTTCTCATGAGATGGCCAAAGTATTGGATCCTCAGCTTCCACTCTTAATACAAATCTTGCTAGTCTTATAAGAGGCCAGAGGACTATTTGTTGTTTACATTGCAATAGATTGAGACCCCCTGTAAAGTGTAATAAATAAACTAAATGGGAGCAGCTTTAAAACAGGTTTTCATGGATGACAGTCTGCTTGTGTATAATGTATCTAACGTAATCCTAATAGGCAAAAGCAAAGTTCCTTTGTTTGCTAAAATGTAAACAATACAATTTGGGAATTCTGCTGAACTTTTTTTATCAGGTATAGATGGTGTAACATTTGGAGAAAGGGACAGGATGATTACCTAGTGTGGTGTAGTGGATAGACTAAGACTCAGGAAAACTGGGTTTGAACCCCTGCTCAGCTATGGAAACACATGGGGACAACAGAGGATGAGATGATTGGACAGGGTCATCGAAGCAACCAACATGAATTTGACCAAACTCCGGGAGGCAGTGGAAGACAGCAGGGCCTGGCGTGCTCTGGTCCATGGGGCCACGAAGAGTCGGACACGACTTAACAACTAAACAACAACAAAGCCCCAAAGGATATGGACTCAAATCATGGGACTCAGTCAAGTCAGGCTTAAGTTGCTTCAGTGACTCAACTCAGGTACAACACCATCCCTCCTAATTTGGACTTGACTCATAGCTTGGAAACCAACCAACCACCCTCTGGTTTTTCCTGAGGAAAACAGCTTGCTTTTAATAGGGACTCGGACTTGAGGTTTGGGACTTGGCACCAAAGAATCGGACTTGGGACTCGAACCCAAAGACTTGCTAATATTCCTGCTGGCTGTGTTGGTCTTGTTGATCCCTGGAAAACCTCCCATACCTTGTGCATTGCCTTGCATTGTCAGGATATTAGGACCTGCAATAGAGAATGTACTGTTAGTACATGAACCAAAGTTTACTAATAGGCATCCCTCTTAAAGCTGCAGGTGTGCAGCCGCCACAGAGTCAGCACATGAGGCTGATGCAATCTATTGAATGTGTATTGGGCACGATGTAATGTCTTGAGGAAGACATCTTATTCTATTTGTTTATATTTTTATTCCCCCAATCTGGGAGGCAAACAAATTGAAATAGCACAAACACGAAAGCAAAATTCATTGGAAACCACAAGCGGGGGCCATAATCTGAAAAATAAAATGCCTCATACAAAAAGATACTACTGCTATAAAATTATGTATACAGATTAGAGTTAATAATAATAATAATAATAATAATAATAATAATAATAATAATAATAATAATAATAATAATAATAATAATAATAATAATAATAAATTCCTTAGGGTCTCCCAACCCCTGGGGGGGTTCGCCTCCTCCAGCAACAGCCTCGCCCCGGTTCCCTTCACCCGACCCCGGGCAGGCCTGGTCCGGCCGCCCTGCTGTGCCTGAGGGAGGGGGGCGGGGGAGGCGCCTCGGTTCCCTGTGGGGTGGGTGGGTCCTGCCTGCCTTTGCCCTGGGCCGCCTCTGGCGGGCTTACTCCCGAGTAGCCCTATTGACTTCCCAGCAAAGACCTGGGTGCCGGATCCGGGGCCTCAGAACACACACACGCACACAGTAGGTCCGGTCGGGCCAAGAGGTCCCGGGGGGGGACTCAGGCCGGTCAGAAAGCCACGCCCCCCCTCGCCCCACATCTGTTGGGGGGGTGGAAGGCCTCCTTCCTCTTGGCTAAAAAAAGGGGGGGAGGAAGACAGGTGCCTTCAGCCCATGCTCAGAGGCACTGTACCCTCGACATGCGACTTCGCCATGTCTGAGTAAAGGGCTTGTCCACGAAAGCTCGCCTTAATAAATAATTGGTGGAAGGTCTCCTTCCTCTTCGCTAAAAAGAAAGGGGAGGAGGAAGACAGGTGCCTTCAGCCCATGCTCAGAGGCACTGTACCCTCGACATGCGACTTCGCCATGTCTGAGTAAAGGGCTTGTCCACGAAAGCTCGCCTTAATAAATAAGATAGATAGATAGATATACACACACACAAAACAGTCTTTAACGTGTCACCACATTTTTGCCTGCTTTTTGCTTTCTATTTTGTTTTCTCCTTGTAAGAACAGAGCCGTGACTTATTGACCTGATAAACGCCAGGCTGCCTCACTTTTCCTCCCCTTATGGGTTGTGGGCCTCATGGGAGGGTCTTTGTTGAGGCTTGAAAGTGGGTTCCAGAAGTGGAGCGGATAAAAATCGAATTTGGCTAAAGGGAGAAAGAGGTGTGTTCTGCACATGCTCAGAGGCACTGTATCCTCCACTGTTGTTGTTCCTGTTTAAGAGCACATCTGTGTGACATATTTATCTGATGATAAGTCACACCTCTTATGGGGTGTTTGTTGTGGGTGCGTTTGGGGTTTGCAAGTATACTCCAGAGTGTAACCCTTAGCTTAGTGGATAAAAATCAAATTTGCAAAACAGAAGAGAGAAAGGTGCCTTTGGCACATGCTCAGAGGCACTGTGTCTCCCACGGTCCTCTGGCCTGTTTGTTGAAGCACGACTCTGTGACCTAGTTATCTGATTGTAAACACCTCATTTTTCTCTCCCTTTATGGCTTGTCTGCATAATAGTAGAATATTTGTGGTGGTTGCTTGTGGGGTTTGAAAGCATGTTTTAGAGACTGAGGTTACTTTTAGTAAATAAAAGTTAAAAGATTTTTAGAAATCAAAGCTCGACTGTTGTGTACAGCATCCTGCCCCCTCTGCTCCCAAATCGGAGTTATTTTTTTCTGTTCTTAAGGTACTTTGTTTTTAAAAACCCATTTGTAATTATGGTTATAAATAAGAACTGTATATGGCGTGTTAGGGATCTTCTTATGGAATAGGATTGTGAGAACAAAGGCTTAAATTTTCAGCGCTTATGAAATAGGGTTAATTAATAATGAATCTTCATTCTATGTTATGTTATATCGAATAGATTGTTTTTTTTAAATTTTGTAAATAAGCTTTACTGGTTCTTTGATTGGACCTCAGTTTTATTTGTCTTCTATATAGATCATTTGCTTAATCTTTCAGTTTCTCAATACTTTAATGTTCAGTCTAGAAGGTTCCATTAGAGGATTTTACAGTGGGTCAGACTGGGTTTGTGTCTCCAGAGAGATATATTTGTTAGCAATAAATGAAGATGAGGAATTACAGGATTGTCAACCCTGTTTTCCAACTCGTATTGAGGTTATTCCTGGAATGTTTTCTTTTTCTGCAAGATATAATATTGGAAATTCTTAGAAGTCTTATTAAAATCTCTACGATGGCTTGCCACAGTTTCGTGTTGGTTCCTATGGAGTGGCAATCCTAGCCGTTTCCGCACTGCAACTTGATATAGACCAAATTAAGCCCTTACTTCTCTCTATCTGAAAATGCATGCTTTCGTTTCGGACACTGACAGGGTTAATCAACAGAGGATTATTGGACGTGGAGGCAGTGTGGGCTAGGAGATTGGGAAAACATGTACTAAGATCTGAGTTTTACTTTGAATTAACAGCCTTTAATTCTGAACTTAGGCAAACGGGCACAAGTCTTTGTTCTTTCCTTTAATTTTGTTTTTGTAACATTTAAGGACTGGGTAGTTTACTATTCTAATCATAGTAACATGTTACCAAGTCCATTCCAAATTACGTCAGCTTTTTTTAAAATAATAATAATTTATTGTCATTGTAAGTGTTATCAAGTCCATTCCAACTTACGTCAGCTTTTTTCCTAGGGTTTCCTAGGTGTAGTTCTCAGAATGTGTTTACAGTCTCTTTCTTTTGGGCCCACACAGGCTGGCTATTGTCCAAGGAGAGGCAGTGGGGAATAAAACCTCAACTCCCAATTCTGTAGCCAAGTCAGCCCAAGTCACTTGAATATCCAGTTAAATTTGAGACACAAGTAGTCAAGGCATTTTTCTGTCTTATTTATATCATGGTAATGTTTGTTTGTTTGTTCCTTTAAGGTGAGGGTGAGAAGAAGCGATTGGCTCAAAGTCACTCAGAAAGAATGTGAATTTCTCATGTCCTGCCACAACAAGCCTCTATCATTATACCAAATTGGCTTTCTTACCATTGCATACTCAAAATAACCTATGTGCTTACAAAAAATACTTAACTTTCAAAATATCTGGCAGGTCAAAAGTTTCTCAGTCTTGCAGTAAGATGTTGAAAGCACTCAGTGTTGGCAGGCATGACTTGAGCATTTCTTTTGGATTAGGTCATCTCCAAGGATGTGACCTCAGAAAACTATACGTCTGCAGCTGGCTGTTTACCTATAATCTTCCAGTGGAGAGAACTGTCTACGTATTTGTTCTTGGGCTCCAAAGTAACAAACTGTAACATAATGGTTGGTTGGAAATCAGGTTAAAGCTGAGTTAGCAGTGCAGTGAAGACAACTTTCTCAAACGGCTGGCTTCTGGAAGGGATCAGGGTTTGAGGGTCAGAGTGATGTGTCGTAACACAGGCAGGCTGGTCACAGGGGTGTGTACGTTCTCACAGACTCTGGGGTAATTCTTGGTGAGAGAACCTGAGCAAATTAAACAATATGATTTAAGTCTGCTAGATAGATCAGGGGTTTAAGTATCTGGCTGTGGAGCCAGAGGTTGGGAGTTCAGTTCCACACTGTGCCTCCTTGATGATCCATAGGGTCCCTTCCAGCTCTGCTGGGTAGCCAAAATGGAGCCTTCCAGATATTGCTGGACTTAAACAGCCTTTGTAAGCCTAGCCAGTGTGGTGAGATTCTGTGAATTGCAGGCCAATAACATCTGGAGGACCACGCTCTTCCTGGCTCATAGATAAAGCATTTTGCATGTGTTCAAAGTGCTTCACTTAGTTTTTCTTATCAGTAATTTCTTACACACAAATTCATTGGGTACCTTCTTTAGAAAACCCTCTAGCATTCCTGTAACTTTGGTCAGTATTAGCTGTGTAGGTAGAATATGGGAAAACTGAGGGAACAATGGTTTGGTCAAGCCCATCTAATGATTTTTCCTGTTCATTCTTATTTACTGCATTGTACAGTTGATTTCCCATGGAGGCATTAAGCATGAACATTTTTTTCTATTTCTGTTATATTTGTAGAATAGTTGCTACCGAGTTACAGTAGTAAATATATTCAGTGTACCAGAGCCAAAGAGGACAGTTTGAGCCTTAAAATATAGAATGTCTTCACCAAGATTCCATTATTGAGGTCAATCACTCATTTACATGTCAACTTGATTACTTATGGCTGTTGACAACGGAGATTTGCAGAAAACTGGGATTCCTGGACAGGGAATGGTTGTTTCCATATCATTAGGGAGCCCATCCAGGAAATGACTGTTTGGCCCTCGATCGTTTGCTGGAGAGGCAAATCAGACTCTGATCCGCAAAATGGAGGTCCAATAACATATTGATAAAATAAACCGCTCTTGGAAACATGACCTCTGTCTGGGTGTTGCAACTTTCTGTTTCTTTGCACCTGTTACACATCCATTAATAAAACGAAGTTGGAGGTTACAGTATAACAATGAATTAAACTGAGCTAGTCTAGATGTTTGTAAGCAACTTTACATTTTGTGAAAGAAAAAGCAAACTAACACTGCTAAAAACGAATTGCTTTTGCCTTACATTCTAAACCAAGGTCTTGTGACATCTTAAAGATTAACGTGTTTTGCTCTGCATGAGCTTTCAGAAGTGCAGCTCGGCTTCATCAATTGTGTCCATTGTTAGTCTTGTTAGATTTGTTAGTCTTTCAGGTATCACAAGACTCATTGTCATTTTTGTTGCAGCAACTGAAACAACTGCCCCACAATGGAATTATAATCTACATTTAGGTAGCAATTGACTTGAACACACTATCTGAATTTTGAGTATTTGGTCTCTTTCTAGTCCATGTATGTGAACTTATTTTGCATATTACATCCTTTGGTTATTCGTGGTCTGTGTTTTACTCGTCGTTCACTCTGCTTGTTTTGTTTTTCTTTAAACCTTTGAGATGGAAAGTCTGACTAATTCTGAAGCCCACAAAACACTTCTAAATTCCTTATATAGCTCTTGCGAAAAATGTAACATACAGCAATACCTCAAGTTTATGTTGTGTCTAAAGTGCCCTGTGTACAGGTTCTAAGAATCCTGAGTTGAATTCTGTGATACTGGTTGCTCTCTGTCTCTTACTAAATAGCAAGCACTAGTCCACAAGTGCCTTACTGGTATTGCAAGAGGGTTACTGCCTCCTGTACTAGAAGAGGTTTGAATTACCATAAATAATGTTCGGTAGCAGAGAAACTAGTCTCCTCCCTATAACCACACACTTTAGCAATCTGAAAGAGATGTTGATTTTTAGATGTATAGTTACTGTGTTTTCTATTTTCGGGTTTTCCATTTCTCAGAGTGACTTTTTTTCCTCTTTTAATATTTGTATACATAGTTCCTAGCTTTAATGATGGAAGATGCCTCTTTATAATCATTGCCTTTACCTTTAAATAATGTCCTTTAATGATGCTATCTACCATTGTATACTCATTGTGCTAAACTCTAAATGTTGTCTTCCAATGCTATAAGACGCCTTGGGTCCTTTTCAAGGAGAAAGACAGGGTAAAAATATTCTAAATAAATAAAAATAAATGCTCAATTTTTGTCCTGTTTCCTTCTCTCTTTGCAGCCTTCTGTTACGCTTTACAGATGACACATTTGACCCAGAGCTCGCAGCAACAATTGGTAAGTTTGTGTTACTTGTATTGCTTTGATTGGATATAGAATATCTGCTGATCCTTCATCCTGTTGGTCAATAAAAATGAGATTATTACAGTGGAAAACATTTATCCTGATCCAAGCAAAGGTGTAGCACTGGCACAATCCGTTGAGATTTAAGGCAAGATATATGTTTAAAATAGGGCCGTGGTGGTGCTGCGGGTTAAACCACAGAAGCCTCTGTGCTGCAAGGTCAAAAGACCAGCTGCCGTAAGATCGAACCTACACGATGGAGGGAGCTCCCTTGTCCCACCTCCTGCCAACCTAGCTGTTCGAAAGCATATTTTACAAATGCGAGTAGATAAATAGGTACCACCACGATGGGAAGGTCACGGTGTTCCATGTCTAGTTGAGCTGGCCACGTGACCACGGAAACTGTCTACAGACAAACGCTGGCTCTACGACTTGGAAATGGGGATGAGCACCATTCCCTAGAGTTGGACACAACTGCACTAAATGTCAAGGGGAAACTTTACCTTTATATGTTTAAAAAGGAAAGTTTAGAATCCAAGTGCTGTTACAGGAGACATAAGGAAGGTGGATGTAGTTTTGGTCAGTATTTTAGTTACATGTGTTGAAAAAACATTCTTATACATTCAGGTTAACTAATTCATTGAGTCAAACTGAATTTTCTGCATCTGCTTTGGTGTTCTTCAGAGGTGTTCAGCTCTAGCTCCCATCATCCCCAGCCAAAGCAGATTTGGCAGTAGCACGGTACAAGTTATGATGTTGCCTGATATGTGACTCTTGGGATAATCATTTTGCTAAAAGTTTTGCTTTTCAGAGGTAACTGCAAAAGTTGATCAAAAGTTGGTCAAGCATTTGAATTGTGATTGTTCCTTCTAGAACATTTACTTTTGTGCCACAGAACATAATTTTGGCCATTTCCTTATATTTTTAAAGTATTTTTTTAACGCAAAGTACCCCTAAAGTATTGTGTGCTACTTATAAGCAACATTGCCAGTTGTTCTAATACAAGTTAACTGTAGTAAAGATGATTTATAAAAGTAGCACATTAAGTTGCTTTAAAATAATAATCTTAGAACTGCAGAGTTGGGACCCTACGGGTCATTGAGTCTAGCTCCTGTCAAGGAGGCCCAGCCTCTGATTCTAGCCTGATGCCTAAGTCACTGAGATATGGAGCAATTATAAAGGTTCTTAACCAGAATGGAGCTTTTTTTATAGTGTGCTGCATTTCCAACTATAGTGAGATTAATTTGATATATTAAGTGCTGTTATCTTAAATAGGAAGTTTATATGTAAGTTGTTTTATAGCAATTAAAATATGGCAGATCTTTGTTTTTGTTAGTTAATTGGTAGGTATTGTAATCTGACGGGCTTTAAAAGTTGTTGATCTGGAGAAGTGGAATGCAAGGTTCTTTGTCTAAATCTGTTCTATCTTGTAAATTTTTAGCATTTTCCAAAGGGGGCATTTGTTTAGAAACAATACAGCTGTTTCTGTTCTGTTGTTTCCTTTGCCTGAAGAAGTATGAAGACAGTGACTATATTTAGCTCTTTGGTTCTTTAGAAGGTAGTGTTAATACCTTTGAATGGTGGGGCTCGTTTAGTGCAGCTGTTATGAGGTCTAAAAAAGGCAGAAGCAGAGCTTTGTGGATCCAGGGTATTTAAAATTCACAGGAGGAGGAGGGGAAAACCTCATTGGGATGGAAAGATAAGCCACACAGGCCAAGTTGATGACTGCCATGTAACAGTTTTTGAGAAAAAGAAATAGTGGATCCCTGGATCCATCCAATCAAATGCATAGTAAGATGAGTTGGAGCAAGAGTGAGGATACTTAGGCACTCCTGCAGTCCCAGTGTGGCGCACTGGATTCCCCCAATGGACCAGACCCCCTTCTGGACAGTGCACTTTAAGAAGGATGCTGACAAACACGAGCAAGTTCAGAGGAGGGCAACTGGGATTTCTTCTAAGCCCTAGGAAGAAAGACTGAAAGAACTGGGCATGTTTAGCCTTGAAAAAAGCCAGATTTAGGCTGAATATCAGGAAAAAACATCTTAACTGTTAGAGCAGTCCAACAATGGAACCAGTGACTTCGGGAGTGGTGAGCGCCCCAACGCTGGAGGCATTCAAGAGAAAATTGGGCAACCGTCTGCCAGATCTGCTGTGATTTGGATTCTGGCATTGAGCAGGATGTGATGGCCTTAAGAGGCCCCTTCCAACTCATTTATTCCAAGAGTCTATGATTCCCCTTGAAACCATCATGTGGTAGTTTCCTGGCTTTTAGATGGACAGATTTCTGCCTATTCGAAAAAGTTTGCCTCTCTTCCAACAAGATTTAAGCTACACTCTTCTGGCATTTTTACTTCCCATCCTTTCTGCCTTTGGTCTGGCCTGCTTCTTGAGGCCTAGGAACTTCTCTGATACTGAATTCAACTCTCTGTCTGAAAGAATTTCCTACCATGCTGTATAAAAAATATTTATATTCTATGTAGAGACTATTCCTGGTCTAAATAAGTAATTCTCTGGATGAAGAAGGCTTTCATAAAGAGGTGCATACAGTTGCTAGGGGCTGTGCCATATTTTCCTTATCACCCATGTGTTTCTTCATTTGTTTGCAGGAACAGCTGCTATATGAAGCTAATTACCCACCTGTTGCCCTTAGTTGAGAAACTACATGACATTGGCCACCCCCACAGCAGACACAGCTTTCTTTCAGTGCATATCTCATTAGCCCCCTTCTCTGACTGTTCATTTGCAAGATAGTGGAATGGGTTAGATTCAATTCATTAGATTTTCTGCCAGGATGTATGTGAATGTTTACTGGCATCCTCATAGAGAGGCTTCGTAAGTTTCTACTTCAAACAGTTTTCTCCATATCAAGGTTATTTATTTAAAAAAATCACAGGTGGTGGTGTACATTTCACGAATCCTTGTTAAAAGCAGTATAAGGAAGCTGGGAGAATAAAAATGTTTAGAGAAAGAGTGCTTTCAGAATTAGTATACTTCAGAGTCCTTTCGTTGTAGTTGGGCTGAGTTGGGTTCTCTTTCTCTCAATTCAATGCCTTACATTTGAAATTTCACTAACTATTCTTATCTCTTAGGTGTTGACTTCAAAGTGAAAACCATCTCAGTGGATGGAAATAAGGCTAAGTTAGCCATTTGGGTAAGTTGGAATAACAAAACACATGGCTGCTTCATTCATTAGATTTTCTGCCAGTATGTATGTGAATGTTTTCTGGCATCCTCATAGAGAGGTTTCGTTTCTACTTCAAACAGTTTTCTCCATATTAAGGTTATTTATATAAAAAAAATCACAGGTGGTGGTGTACATTTCACGAATCCTTGTTAAAAGCAGTATAAGGAAGCTGGGAGAATAAAAATGTTTAGAGAAAGAGTATTTCAGAATTAGTATACTTCAGAGTTTTTTCGTTGTAGTTGGGCTGAGTTGGGTCCTCTTTCTCTCAATTCAATGCCTTACATTTGAAATTTCACTAACTATTCTTATCTCTTAGGTGTTGACTTCAAAGTGAAAACCATCTCAGTGGATGGAAATAAGGCTAAGTTAGCCATTTGGGTAAGTTGGAATAACAAAACACATGGCTGCTTTTATTATTGTTGGATCCTGTCCAGATTTAAGTTTATTTGAAGGCTTTTTCAACAGTGGTAAAAGAGAGTGCTAGTAAGTGGCAGTGTGTTTTCTGTCAGCTAAGTAAAATTTCAGTGGGCTCTAGATGAGTGAACATGGGTGGGATTCCTCTTGCTCCTGTTGAAGCTAATCACAACATCCCAGTGTTATACATTTTTTCATTCCCCTTGTCTTATTAACCTAGAACTTAAATACAGTGGTGCCTCGCTTAATGATATTAATTGGTTCCATTAAAAAATCGTTATGTGAAAACATCGTTAAGTGAAACACCATTTCCCATAGGAATGCATTGAAAACCGGTTAATCCGGTCCGTTCAATGGCTTTCAATGGAGAATAAAAAAATTCACCAAAAATTAACGAAGACTGAGAACAACACCAAATTAAGTTTGCATAGGTTTCTGGAGGTGGGCTAACGATTGCATTTCAACAGTGGTAAAAGAGTGCTAGTAAGTGGCAGTGTGTTTTCTGTCAGCTAAGTAAAATTGCAGTGGGCTCTAGATGAGTGAACATGGGTGGGATTCCTCTTGCTCCTGTTGAAGCTAATCAGAACATCCCAGTGTTATACATTTTTGCATTCCCCTGGTCTTATTAACCAAGAACTTAAATATGACTGTAGTAAGTGATGGGAATTATTCAGAATACTATACCTTTTGGTCCTTTGTTGATTTTTCTCTCCACTCCCTGAAAGACATTATAAAAACACTGAGAGAAAGGAAGAAGAAATAGCCATATAAAGAAAAGATAGTAAAGGTGAATGGTGATACTTATTTTTAAGTCTGTAGTAATAACCTTCTTTCAGATTTCTTACTATACGAACATGAGTTAACTGAAATGTATTCAATACATTTTAGATTTGTGTTTTTCATCCAAAGGAAATCCATTTATTTGGCTTGGAGTTGCTGCTTTTCTTCAGGACTGAGAGCCCTATCTAGGACTGTGAACATATTATAATAAAGAATGTGTAAATAAATGTCAGCACAGTACAGTATGTTAGACACAATTCTTCAGCTTGGATCTTAAAACCAACTGGAAGGAAAAGAAGAATGGAAAATTGATAACTTGTGATTTTATGGTACAAAGTGAAAGAGGGGAATATAAAGTAAAACACCGGAATACAGGCATTACTGTGGTGAATTTCTGTCTTAATTTAGTTAGTTCAGAGTTCTCCCTTTAGTACAAAGATATAATTGTCTGCTGTTTCAGCATGGGACCAAAGAGGATGAAGTGTGCAGAGCTCAGCCTAGATAAAGAAAAGACACTCTCCTTCCGATTGGGTTGCAATGGGCAGATTCTCCCTATTGTGCGAAAGGATTATAGAACTCTAGAGAATAAAATCTGGGAACGTTGTCCTATTTAGATTTGGTCTGAATCAGTTTGTTTTAAAATAAGGAAACTCTCTCAATTCAGCAAATGCCTGCTCGTAGAATACAGACCACATGTATTTGAGATGTGATGTGATTCTGTGAAGGAAGGAACAAGGAAAAATTATAACGGTGTCAAATGCGTATACATTAACACTGTTCTGAATTTTTTTAGGACACTGCAGGTCAGGAACGGTTCAGAACACTAACTCCCAGCTATTACAGAGGCGCGCAGGGTGTTATCTTAGGTAAGCCTGGAGCTGGTTACTGCTTATCTGAAAATGTTTTGATTTGTGCAAAAATTAAGTCTTCACCTTACTTGGCTTCTAGCGAAACTCTTGGTATCTGTCACTAGGCCTGTGGCAATTACTCTAGATTATGAAAGACTTGGATAGATCAGGGCGTAAGTGGCTAGAAACCAACATCATAGGAATTTTCTGGATGTGGAGCTAAATATCATGTCTAGCTCATGGTTTTTATCATTTTCCCACTCCAGGGCTGTGTTTTATTAGGTAAGGCTGCTCCGGTTAGTTTCGGTTGGGATGCAGGGTGGTGCTAAAGTCTGGCTGCTTTCTTGCTCAAAATCCCTCCCTCATCTGCTGTTTGTTCTTCTAACCTAAAGAGATGAAATATGTAGATTCTTCTGCCTCCTTTGAGAAAATCGGGCGAGGAGGAAGTACTGAGAACAGGCAGACTGTTGGAAAGGGAAGAGTTAAACTGTACCTGCCTGGTGGTTATCTCCTTAAAGTTAAGCTGCAGGTGGGTTCCTTATCTAAGAAAAGCTGCAGGAGAGGGGAGTCCCTTGTGGTTTTACCCAAAGTTGTGGGTTGTAGTGGAACATTCCTTTAGATATGCTTGCTAGAAAATCAAAAATTAAATCCCACCTGACACGAGAAGACATTTTCACAGGTCCCTCCCTTGCTTCAGTTATCTGCCTGGCTTTCTAAAGTTCAGGAAGCGTAAACTTAGATAGTGAATCCTTTGTAAAGCTAGCAGTGCCGCTCAGCTGGAATCTCAGTAAGGAGAAACAGTCTGTTTCTGGACCTAGACCAGCTTGCAAAATTTACCTGTCTAACAACAATAGCTGGGCGTGGCTCAATAATGTAAGATTATGCAGACGTCTTATATAGCTTTGATCAGTGAGCACCTAGTAATTTCAGAAGAGTGTCATGTTTGCCAATTGAGTTTTTTTTGGCTCTGCTGTCATTTTCTGCAAAAGAATGTTTGGTGTGTTAGCATTAAATAAAAGAAAAACAAATGCAATGTGATAAATTTATTATTTGGGTGAAAGCTGTCTACTTATACGTAGAGCTGTATTTCTGTAAGTAAAGTCTTCTATGGAAGAAAAGGTCAAGGTAGGTTCATCATGGTAGGAATCTGGAGGTGTTTTTGCAGCTTAGAAGCTCATGCATCTCTGACCATTTAAAATCTTTTTTTTAGTTTACGATGTCACAAGAAGAGATACTTTTGCTAAACTTGACAACTGGCTAACTGAATTGGAAACATACTGCACAAGAAATGATATAGTTAAGATGCTAGTTGGAAACAAAATTGATAAGGTATGTAGTATTTCACAATTACAGATTTTCTGGGGCTTGTAGGTGGTGGTTCTGTGTTACTAACAAGTCTGCTGCTTGTTATAGGAAAACAGAGAAGTTGATAGAAATGAGGGTCTGAAGTTTGCCCGGAAACATTCCATGTTGTTCATAGGTAAGTTCTTAAAAAGAAATATATACCTGCGAGGAATGATCTGTTGTGCGGCTCCACTTATTTGGTACGCGGTTTAAATTTAATGGCTGAGACAGTGGTGTTGAACGTTAGAACTTTTCATTATCACGATTAGTTCGTTCGTTCGTTCGTTTAGTCGTGTCCGACTCTTCGTGACCCCATGGACCAGAGCATGCCAGGCCCTCCTATCTTCCACTGCCTCCCGGAGTTGGGTCAGATTCATGTTGGTTGCTTCGGTGACACTGTCCAACTATCTCATCCTCTGTCGTCCCCTTCTCCTCTTCACACTTTCCCAACATCAGGGTCTTTTCCAGGGAGTCTTCTCTTCTCATGAGATGGCCAAAGTCTTGGAGCCTCAGCTTCAGGATCTGTCCTTCCAGTGAGCACTCAGGGTTGATTTCCTTTAGAATTGATAGGTTTAGCGTTAGAACTTTTCATTATCACAATTAATACAAACTAAATAGAATTAAGGCTGAATTTGTAAAATGCATTCGATCAGAAGATAAGCAAGGACATGTCCAGTTACTGAAATGTCACTTTGTTCTTTGTGGGCCTTGAAATGGCAACCTTCCTGCATGTGTCACTTTAGATACAAGGAATGGAATCCACTGGGCTGTACTTTACTGAGATCTCTTCCTTCAGTGAAAACTCTGAGATTTTTTTTTTGCACTGTTTTCAGGTAATTCATAGATCAGGTTGCTTTTGTATGTTTGCATGTTGTCTTTACATGGTTCTCTGATTTAGTGCAAAGTGCTGATAAAAGGAACCTTGTTTCTCTTCTCTGGTCCCATCCCAGGGAAGATGCTGGGGCTGATATGTCTCCTGTTGGGCTTTCTGCCTGTCTTAACAGAAAGACCGTGTTTGTGTTCACATTCCGTATGTGTGAACGTGTTCCAGATGTGTTGTCTCCGACGCATTTTGGGTATCACCTGGCAGGACAAAGTTCCAAAAAGAGTAGTCCTAGAACAAGCTGGAATTTTTAGCATGTATACATTACTGAAACAGCGACGGATGCCTTCTTTCCAATGAGCTTGGAAGGAAGAGAAATCTACCCTGATGACACTTGTCTAACATCTCAATTTCTCTCTCTCCACCCCTCCCCCTCATTGGCCAGAGGCGAGTGCAAAAACCTGTGATGGTGTACAGTGTGCCTTTGAAGAACTTGTGGAGAAAATCATTCAGACTCCTGGACTGTGGGAAAGTGAGAGCCAAAACAGAGGCGTAAAGTTGTCAAACGAGGAAGAGGGCTACAGAAGTGGCTGCGGCGGCTACTGTTCTGTGTTATAAACTCCGGAAGACTTGTTCTTTTGTGTATTTAAATGAATAGTGATGTCCTCTGTACACAAACTCATATCTGCTATTTTAGGGACCTTGCAGTTTGCACATACTTGTGTATCATGGCAGTGGACATTTTTCTAGGAAAATGTGCTCTGCAGCTTTTTCCAGTTTAGAAGTGTTATGGTAAGCATGCCTAATTTGCAATTTCCAAGATCTTTTTACATGTAGCGCAAGATAATATGTTGCAGGAACAAATGCACTCACATTGCATAATCTCATCATGAAAATTTTGAGGAAGCGGTTTCAAATAAGTGTTGGCTGCATTCTGTCTGACTGTGGTCTTTCACTCAGTTCTGTAGCACTATTTGAGATGTGAAATTTCAAAGAATGCACATAGATACACGTACAGTTTGCACAATTCAGGGGCAGATGCTTTTTCTTACCCAGGTTAATAGCATGATTATACAACCCCTTTTTTCAGCTTATGAACAACCCCTTTTTTCTAGCTTGTAACTCATCTCATTTCAGTTCTGCCCTCTTTGAAGAGGTGCTTCTAAAATGACTTGGTGTGGATCAGGAGGGGTGATTTTTAAAAAATTGTCACTACATTGAATAGACAGACTTTAAATGGCATTTTAACCCTAGGATTTCAGATGACTGGCTGTTGCCATGGCTTTTATGATGAACCATATTGAGGTGGACCTGCAGGAGAATACTTTTTGGTTAGGAACATAATGGAGCTCTCATTGTGAATCACTTTGTCATGCTTTGGTGAATGCTTTGGAATATTAGTATTGTAATTTTCTTTGAGTTCGGTTTACTCAGAGAGCTGTTGCTCCTTTGAAAGGCTCAATCTGAATGATTGCTCTGTTTGTGTCTATTGGTTCTGAAGCTTAAATGTTAAAAACATCATCTGGCTACTTCTGTGTAAAGAATGTGCTATTTTTATTTGAGCTTGCTGAAACAAACAGCCAATGGCTTCCTTGTTTCAGAGAGCTTGTAAAGACTAATAAATTTTTTTCCACAGTATTCAATTTTTTTCTAACATCTTCCTCATGTACAGGTGAATTTTGTAAGGCACAAATTCAAGAATTCTTGGATTGCTGATCTTATAATAGACAACACTAATGATTTCAAGTTACTGTGCAATTTCCTGTAAATAGATAACCTAAAATACTTTATAACATTGGGTTTTTGTATATGTCAGTGCTCTTCATATTATCATTGGTCCTTTGCAAATAATGCTGGCAGTTGCCACTTGAATGCACTTCACTTAAAATCTTTCCTTTCAGTTTTTTTTCTTCACTTGTTAAGAAACTCTGTGAAAGTTTTGAAAGCTGTTCTATAACCAAACTTTGTAAGTAAAAATAATTCTCTAAATGTTCACACATTTAATGCCATACACAATTTCTAGATATAAAGTGCTATTTTAATTTTATCATATAGGATAAACAGGTTAATGATCGGTTCAAAGATGGCCATGTGATTCTTGGATTCATCTCTGAAGGTAGAACAGGATCAATTTTTTTTTAGCAGAAAAGTGTGTTTTTAACATTGGAATAAAAATAATGAAGCAGGATCCTTTGCCAGTCTTCTTTTAGTACAGGCTGTGTGTATATATTCCGTATGATGTGTTTTGTTCTCTGATATTATTCTGTTCCCTTTGGGTTAAACACAACCTTGAGAATTTAAAACAACAAAATCCAAGTTTTGCATCAAGGTAACTTACAGCGTCTGCCAAGAAAAGCTCTCTGACATGCAGAAATGCTGAAGACTGCAAAATTCTCCCCCAAGTTTTCCAAGGCACTGAAAAACTTCTACCAGTCACTGGATGTTTTGCTTTTAAAAAACTTGAAAGCAAAAGTTAATTTTTGTGTCAAGTGCATTACTACACAGAGGGTTAAATCTAGATTTAGTTCTACTTTGAGTGGGAGTTCGAAATCAGTCAAGTGGGTTGTGATTGACTTGCTTGTCCCATTGATTTTAAGAGATCCACTTTTTCTTAAGCCTGACTTCCGTGTCTGCCTGCCTGTTTTCAATGTACGGATTATTTCTTTCTACGGTTCTTCTCAATGGTTGTCTTCATTTTGGCGAAGAAACTTTAAAAAAATCTTCCATGAGTCCCAAAAGCCGGAACGTCTACCTCCTTGTTTTGCTTCTACAATCACTGCGTAAATAGTTTGCTTGGACAACTGCTGTTGAAAATGAGCTTACCTCCTTGTTTTATGATCACTGGAATGAGCTTTTTTTCAAGAGGCCAAAGCAAAAGTGTTGTGGCGCCTTAAAAAAAACCCTAAAAGATGTATTCTAGTGAGCTTTTGTGGATTTCAGTCCACTGCCTCAGACACAACTCTGATAATAATCTTTAATAACTACCTGCTCTACAGGCAAGTGGAGATGATGATTCTTCGGATTTTGCTTAATATGCTTGCACAGATTGAAACGGGGGGCCTCTTATAAACCTTAACATACAGCTTAATAGAGGTGGCTTAGGATAAGCTTTCACAATAGAAAGCTTATTTCTGTTGCTGAAGGCACACTGGAATTTGCTTGGGGGCTTGTGAGGGCGCTTAACAGGCCATGAAGCACCATGGAGAGCTTCCGCCCTTCATTTAGCGTCCGTAATTGACGCAACTCTGAGCTCCGCCCCCTCCCGCGTCCTGCTTACCGGAGTGAAGAAAGCAGGGCGCCTCTTACGTAGCGTCGTCCGTAGCGCTGGTTGGCTTTGCCGGAACCAACGGGACGGAAAGGCTTCTGTCCGGCTCCTCCCATCACGGCGCTACGGAGGTTGCGTAGGGGCCGCGTCCTCGTCCTGGAGAGAGCTGGAGTGAAGCTAGCCGCCGTTGGCCGGCGGTCGGAGGAAGGCGCCTGATTGGTTGCTGCTGTCCGTGACGCGGCCTCTTCTTCCTCCTCGAAGAGGAGGCGCTTTTTCCGCCGCCGGCTCCTACGCGAGGCCCCGGCTTGAGGCCTGTACGGAAAGGTGAGGACGGGTTTCGCCGTCGGCTGGCGACGCGGGAGCGTCTGAGGCAGTTTTATTTTAAAAAAAAAAATGAGAAAGAGGGGTTGGCTGTTTAAATTCTGGATGCGGTTGCTTTAAAAAGGGACGCGTGGATGCGAGTGAACGGTTGACCCAGTTTGGGGTGGTCGATCGCCCTGTTTCCTGGCGTTTCCCCTACCTCTAAATCATCATCATCCCCCCCAAATATGTATATATATATATATAAATTCAAACAATATGCGTGTTGGGACTGGCTCATCAGCGGGTTCATGATCGGTCGAGTCTGTTCCTGAGCATGTGCAGAGTGCCACCGACTCGCCTGGTCTTCTCAGCGTACCGACCGGGCCCTCCCCGTCCCGTCTCGAGTTGGATGGTGGCGGTTCAGCCTTTCGGAGGGTGGTTTTTCCAGATGAGTGGGGGTTGCGATGAGGGACTCGAGAGCAGGCCTGGGGCATGAAATAAATATTTTATTTGCGGCTCAGGTGCCTGGGAATCGGTGGTACAGTGCCTCTCTATGTGGAGGTTCCACTTACCGGTCATTCAGTCGTTATGATTCAAATGTGTTATTTAACCCCACCCCCACCCCCAAAAACCAATGAGATCTAGCCTCTTTTTTGCCACCTGGGCTCTGCAATTTTGGGAAAGGATCCCCCCCTCATTTTTGCCCTTTGCTTTCAAATGGTGATTTATTGATTGTATGTCTGTGCCGTTTCTGTGGCTGATGATTGTAAAATTCTGTTGTGGTTTCCTTGGTTGGAGACCCATATTAAGAATGTTTTGAACAAATGAATTAATAAAAGGAGTACCTCGTTCCTACCTGAAGCATTTTTGCCCTTTGCTTTCAAATGGTGATGTTTTAATTACATGGCATTTATTGATTGTATGTCTGTGCCATTTCTGTGGCTGATGATTGTAAAATTCTGTTGTGGTTTCCTTGGTTGGAGACCCATATTAAGAATGTTTTGAACAAATGAATTAATAAAAGGAGTACCTCGTTCCTACCTGAAGAGAGTGAAAAAAAAAACGGTCTGAAGCTCAATATCCAAAAACTAAGATCAGGGCCACTGGTCCCATCACCTCCTGGGAAATAGAAGGGGAAGAGATGGAGGCAGTGACAGATTTTACCTTCTTGCTAGTCAAAGATGTGGTTTTTCCTGTAGTGATGTACAGAAGTGAGAACTGGACCATAAAGAAGGCTGACCACGGAAGAATTGATGCTTTTGAGTTGTGGTGCTGGAGGAGGCTCTTGAGAGTCCCCTGGACTGCAGACAACAAACCTATCCATTCTGAAGGAAATCAACCCTGAGTGTTCACTGGAAGGACAGATCCTGAAGCTGAGGCTCCAGTATTTTGGCCATCTCATGAGAAGAGAAGACTCCCTGGAAAAGACCCTGATGTGAAGGCAAGAAAAGAAGGGGACAGCAGAGAATGAGATGCTTGGACGGTGTCACCGAAGCGACCAACATGAATTCTATGAAACTCCAGGAGGCAGGGGAAGACAGGAGGGTCTGGCGTGCTCTGGTCCATGGGGTCACGAAGAGTCAGACATGACTTAACGACTAAACAACAACAACAGTTCCTACCTTCTATCCTCCTTGTGTGCGTGTTTTTTTTTTTTTTTAGCAATAGCCTTCTGCAGGCAGGTTGGGTGAAAAGAATGAAGATGAAAGAGACAAAGAATAACGAGCTCAGGGATACCTTATTTTTGACCAGAGGGTTATTTGAACCTGGTTTTCCTCAGTTCTAGTCCACTGCTAAGCGTAGCATCATCACGCTGGGTTGAATGGATGGTGGAAAAGGTCATGCTGGATCAGAACCAAATTCGATGTGTGGAGCATCTTATTTCCCACTGTAACCAGCAGGACTGTTCCGTCCACAAGTAGACAATGAACTAAGACTTTTTGAACTACATCTCTTGCAATCTCCTTGCCCCAGCAGTCATGACGTCTCAATTCTTATGGGAGCTGTAGTCCAAACAGTGCCCACCTGTGTTTATGAGCCCCTAACAAAGCTCTTTTTCATGAATTCATCAGATCTTGTTTTAAAGATTGCAAGTTTTAAAAAATGGTTTTCTTCTGAAAAAATGGGTCATCAAAAACGTGCATTTGCAGACATGTGAACTTGAGATGCCACATGCAACAAATATAATTCTTTTGTGTTGATAATTTTTATTAGCATCTAGTTACCCAGCTCTTCAGCCAGAAGGGCTCCCAGAGGGACCCATAAGTTACAGAAATGAGACAGTTTACTGGCAGCGTCATAGAAGAAGAAGGGGTTGTGCACTTCACAGAACGTGGCAAAATGCCCTCACAACTCCCCATGGCCACAGGAGACATTGTGAGCAATTACTTTTTTAAAACAAAAAGGCTTCTGGTGTGATGTGTGTAGGTCCTTGAGGAGCCAAGGGATGCTTGGAGCTATACCTTTTCTAAGTGATGGTAGATGTTCATTTTTTAATTTAAATGAATTGCTTGTTTTCTAGTTCTGAATTAGAAAGAAGATGTCCCTGTATGATGATTTGGGTGTGGAAACCAGTGATTCCAAGACAGAAGGCTGGTCCAAGAACTTCAAACTACTGCAGTCGCAGCTGCAAGTGAAAAAGGCAGCTCTCACCCAAGCGAAGGTACAGTAGAAAAAGGCGGCAGATAACAGCCTCTCCTGTCACTGACCCTTAGGTTGTATTTAGAAGCCAAATGCTTCCTTTGACAGATGATTTCAAATAGAATGGGAAATAATTGTTGTGTAACCCCTGCCCTTTAACAGACATAAACATGTCTTGCAGCAGCTTTTGCAAAATAATTGTTCTCAGGTTGTAATCAGTTATGCTTGTCTGTCATTTGCTAACAGCTTGAGTGAATGGTGTCCTGATGTGTGAAATATCTGTCACAATTTGGAGGGCAGCTTCTGAAAGAGGCCGTAAAAATGAAGCTTTGTGATTCAGTTCTAGCCCTCCTAATTTTTGTAATTTATCTTTCCTCTCCTGTTATCTTTCTTCTGAAGTAAAGATTGGTCTCTGCTGGAACTGCAGCCCCAAAATAATTGGAAAGCAAGAATATAAGCTTTCTTGGCATTTTAATTAGGCCTACATTGTTCTGCCTACCCAGAGGCAAATAAGGAAAAACAATACTAGGACCTGGACTTTTTCCATAGTGGCACCCTCACTGTGGAATAGACTTCCACTAGAAATTCGACAGGCCCTCTCCCTACAGATCTTTAGAAGGTCATTAAAACTGAATTATTTAAGGAAGCCTTTGGCAACATCACTTTTTAAACTCGTATTCTGTTGCACTTATTATTTTATTATATTATTGGACATTTTCTTTTATTATGTTATAGTTCATATAATTTAGTTCACCTTAGGCACTCAGAGGCAGCCACTGCCCTCAAGCAACAGATTTTGCAGTACCAGTGTATTTTTGCCATGTATCCATGGCATGGATCCACATGAATTTTAATGTTCGCTCATCTCCAAATTATTGCCCATCTCCATTTCCTTGGTTGTGGCACTGGCATGAGAGGTTGGACTGGAAGCTTCTTTGAAGTGGCATATTTTCTCCCCACTTGTACTCTCCAAGTCCATGGAGTGCTCATGGTGTTGATGATGAAGATGAGGCTTGTCGGGTCTCAGAGAATGAGCTGCTGTGCCAGGCAATGGCTGGGCTCCCCTGAATCTCCAGACCAGGCAAACAAATGTGAGGAGCAGTGGTGGAAGGGGAGGGAGTCTCATTTATTGTTATGGGGCGGCCATGGTGTTTGGGTACCCAACTCCAACCTTCTCCAAATGTAACCCAAGAGTAATCTTAGGCAGCGTATTATTGAGACAGAAAGGCAGCAGGATCTTGGTATTATCAGAAATAGGTTTACAGTTGACAACGCATTGCTGCCACTGAAACCGGCAAAATATCTCTACTTACCCCTAACACCTAAACAACGCAAAGGGCATTTCCTGAACGAACAGAGGCACACTACATACTGCTTTTGCTGACAGGGCGATGCCCTGACAGATATACTGGGCTAAATTCAGATATGCTGACAAAAGTAGCCAAATTCTGTGCTGCTGCAATCAAAATCCGGGAAGGAAAGGTTCCACCTAAAGTGCAGTTATAGAATTTGTAAATTGGTGTATAAATTGGTAATGTTCACACGGGCTCTACGAGCTTCAAAGTAACAATTTTGGCATTCAATGTAAGCTGTAATAGGCCATAGATAAGGCCTATGATAGGGAGTAGGAGATATTTACTAAGATGTTTGAATGTGGTTATATATATGTTTTTATGTTCCCAAATTTAATAATGTATCTTAATTTTGCTGGTCAATGACCGTAATAAAACATTTCCTTTCGTTACTTTTATTGTTTTTTGAAAAGAGGCTAAACGGGGATCCCAGTCCTCAGTGGAAACAGCCCAGCTCAGCTCCAGCAGGACGCCTGCCTTCTGGCCCCTCGCATCCCCCTGGGAAGAGGACGCTTCGGGCCCTACAGGAGAGAGAGAGAGAAAAAACAACAACTAAGGGGCAAGTTCATCCACTGCCGTCAACCGGCTTCAACCCAGGCGTATCCACCGACCAATGTTCTGGCAACTTCATCTCAAAGTTCCACCTGCCAACATCCACTGGCTTCCACCAGGAATATCCATCCATTCATCTCTTCCACTCCACTTCTGAAGCCAGCCTCCGCCAGCTCCCGAATGCTTGGGTCACACACACACACCCCGGCGACATCGCCACAGAACGCCAGCCAGCCCATTCACACACACACAGACCAGGCACACACACCCGACACACACACCCCTTCACTCCAACGGCCATTCACACACACGCCCGGGCTTCCATCCACTGGTACCCACCAAGCTTCCGCCAGCTGGTTTTAGGAAGCTAATGTCTCCCGGCTTCCTCCGCCAACCTCTGCCGGCCTCCACCTTGCAGCCTCCGCCAGCTTCTGCAGGGAGATTCCACCGGCTTCTGTCTTCCAATGTCCACCGACTTCCCCCCGGGTCCATCGCCGACATCAGCCAGCTTCAAGTCACGGATCTCTGCCAGCTTTGAGCTGTTAACTTGCAAGCCCACTTAGCAAGTTCAGCTGCTTTCGCAAGAGACCTTGCCTTGGGCAGAAGGGCTGGGTCCCCTGCAGCTGCTGCTGCTCTCTCTCGGCTAGACTGCCCTCTGGCCACTCGCTTCCCTTCTGGTCTCCTGCCCTGCCCAGCAAGCCCCTTTTTTTCTGCCAGCAGAGAGGTGGGACCCCTGTGAGGTCACAAAGACCCAGATGAGTGGGGTTGGGTTCCCAAGGCAGCACCAGCACCCTCAGGATTGACTGAGTCCTGAAGATGATGTCAACAGTCCCTCTGATCATGTGATACACCCACAAAAGCTTGCAATTTGCATTATTATTATTTTTAAAATTTGTGGCCTTTTAATGTATCCTCTGTGACCAATCCCTCTGATTGTTACATCTCCCCATGTTGGCCTTCTGACAAGATTCTAGGCTGGTGCTCCAAAAAGTTATCTTCCAGCATTTGCACCAAAAGGAACTTTCCTAAGCCCTGAGCTAAGAAGAACATGAAAGTAATAAATGAATAAGGATGAGCACAGTCACACAATCAAATCTTGGATGCTTTTTTTTGCCTCTTTTTGGACATTTTTTTCCTTGCCTTCGGCATGAAGAAGATATTACAAGGAGCCTGTTAAGAAAACAACCTAAGTGTTTGAAACACATGTGAGTATTTTAACACCATCCATACACTATCAAAGATTCAGCTGTGTTTCAGACTCTCCCAGCCTTTGGAACTCTCTCCCACTGGAAGGCAGATTTGCCCCACCAGTAAGTATTTATTTGTTAATACCACCCACTGGGTGTGTGGGGGGGGGGAGAACAAGCATTTAAACCTTGCAGTGCAGGATCAGTTGTTTTTTCTAAACTAAAACCTCAGCATTCAGGTTTTAATTGCAATATTGGCACTTTGAAATAAATAAGTTGATTTTGTGTTGCAGTTTGGGCACTCGGGCCCAAAAAGTCACCAGATGGCAGTCCTCTATCTCATTGCTGTTTTTCTTTTCATTTGTTTGTGTTATTATTGACACAAATTTATTATTTTAGTTTGTATGTTTAGCTTAGTTATGTAAACCACCTGAGAAGTATCTCACTAAGTTAGGTGGTCTGGAAGCTCAATAAACAAACAACCAAACCAGAGAGATCACATTGTGCTACTCAGCATCTGCAGCTTAGGAGAAGTATCTCACTAAGTCAGACGGTCTGGAAGCTCAATAAACAAACAAACAAACAAACAAGAGAGACCACATTGTGCTACTCAGCATCTGCAGCTTAAATTGATAACTTGCATCATCCTTCAATCCTTAGAGCCTGTTGTGAACTATAATCCTAATACTGTTTGGGAAACAAAGAGTACTCTAGTTTGCAACATTTCATCACCCTTAGTTTGTTCTCAATATTTGAAAGCCTGCCTGGAATAAAAGAACATCTGGCAGAGTTCTGATATGGCAAAAACCGGACTGTATATTTTTGGTGATTGATTTTTGATCCTTGTCAGCACTTGCTATTTTGAATACAAGTTTAATAATAAAAGCAAAAAAACCCTAAAGTCTTTATTAGAAATCCTAAATGGGAACAACTTTTTCAGCAGTTCCAATACTTTCAATTTAGTCACAGAATTTTTAAACTATTAATGGAAGAACTCTTTTTAAAATATAGATTACCTTCTTGTGTAGAGCTAAGCTCCCTTATATCTGTTATTTTGAAGTGCAAAACATGCAGAAATTTCAGTACGTACACAGGAGAAATTTGAGTTCACATGCGTGGGAAGTATATTATTGTTTGTAACTGTCACACAAACATTGTAAAACTATGTGTTCAGAAAGCTGTCATGATAAAGGTCCTCATTATGATACCTTTATGAAAGTCGCTTTTTTCAGTGGGTTCTTTAAAAATATGCTCTTCTGTTCTTGCTTTAACTTACAATCAACTGTTCTAAAAGATTGTTCTTGATTGCTTAAGCTGAATTGATTTGGAAGGATTTCAACAAATACGAAAGCTATTATAGTAAAATTAATGGAAATCTATTTTTTCCTGACAGTTTTTTTCAAGGCTTCACTCAGTGGTGGTGGGGGGAAAGGGAAATCTAGCAATGGAGGATAGTGTGCCAAAGGGGTGAATTTCTGCTTGTAATGTTCTTATGTTTTGTGGATTTCAGAGTCAGAGGACAAAACAAAGCACAGTTCTTGCTCCCGTGATCGACCTGAAACGAGGCAATGCTTCTGACGAGCGGCAGATCGTAGACACCCCTCCCCACGTGGCAGCTGGCCTGAAGGTAGGATAAAGGTTGCTTGGAGGTGCAGGCTATTCTGGGCAAAAATGGGTTTCCGGGGTAAATTAGGGTAATCTTAAAAAGAAAACAATCCTAAAGGATCTTCTCTTTCCTTCTTTATCTTAAGCTCTCTCCCGGTCCCACATAAAGTGCAGGCATCGTTGGTGATAGTGAAGGTCTTAGTGGTTGTACCATTCCTGTGAAACACTGTGCCTTTTTCTTGAACAACTTGTGCTGTTTTTGCAAAGGCACTTCTCTCCTGACCTGCTTTTTCCTGCTAAGCTTTTTAAATTTCTTTTTAAAAAAGGTTATTTCTGGCAGCTTTCTCCAGCGGTTTGCTTTCCAGCGATGTTGTACTTCCAGCTGCCAGCATTCCTGCTCATTTGACTCTGATGGGATGATGGGAAATAAAATTCCCAAACATTTGGTGGGCACCAAAATTGGGGGAAAAGCAGACCTGATCTGTGGTCTCCATTTCTGTAGGTGCACTGCCTTGGTCTGTTTGTTGTATTTGTTACAGAACGTGTGGTTTTTATATTGCATTGTGTTTTGAAATTATTGTGAGCCACTCTTTTGAGTGGTGCGGAGGCACTGGAAGGAGGGGATATTCATTTCAGTATAAGTAAACTTTTTTTTAAAGTGCAACTGCTGCGCAAGATAGGAGACACTTTTTCATATTGTCTCCCAAAATGAATCATCACAATAAGGATACTATGTCACAGGGGATCTTTAGATGGCCATTGTGAGACTGTAGGGCGATCATGCTTTTGCCAAAGACGAAGTGGAATTGTTCTAGCCAAATAATTAATTACATCCTGATGGGCCGCTGCCTTGATTTTAGTTTGTCATTCGTTAGCACTGTTCGTTTATTTTAAAAAAGGAACTGTACAGAGTTCAATAAATTGAGCCACAAAACAAACAGACAAAGAAGTCCTGGTACCTTGTGGGAGGCAATGCATATTATGATGAAATATTGGTCACCGTCGAAAGAGGACACAGTGCCTCCCATGCAACAACAACAAAGAACACCCCAGTATGCAGCTTAACATTTAAGCAAATGCTTGTCTACAAAGCAGGATTGTCTCAGTGTCTAAAAAGTACATGATACCAGTTGTGTTCTCAGGCAAGCGTTCTGCAGTTTCCTTCCTGTGCATGAAAAGACCCTTTTCTAAACTGCTGCCAGGAGGAGTTTGTTTGAGGGCCTATGGTCTGGGGAAGGGATCTTGCAAAGATCATAATGTAGGTAGGAGAGGTTTCTGTGACAGGGGAAGGGACACTTGGACAGATCTGGGGAAACCTGGACTCTCCAGATGTTTTGTTCTAGGACTCACATAATCCTGTATTGTTTGCCAGACTGACTGGCTTTGGTTAGAGTATCACTCTTTCCCCTAATAAGGGACGTGGTGGCACTGCGGGTTAAACTGCAGAAGCCTCTGTGCTGCAAGGTCAGAAGACCAGCCGGCATAAGAGCGAATCCATGCGACGGAGGGAGCGCCCATTGCTCGTCCCAGCTCCTGCCAACCTAGCTGTTCAAAAGCATGTAAAAATACGAGTAGATAAATAGGTACCACCTCGGTGGGAAGGTCACGGTGTTCTGTGTCTAGTCGTGCTGGCCACGTCATGACCTTGGAAACTGTCTTTATATCAACACTGGCTCTACAGCTTGGAGACGGGAATGAGCACTGTGCCCTAGAGTCAGATACAACTGGACTAAATGTCAAGGGGAATCTTTACCTTGCCTTTCCTCTAACACCCCCCATCACACCTCTTGGAGGTATACTGCCAAAAGTCTTTCACTGTGTTGTAGGCAAGGATCAGCCTGTTGAAATGAACCTAGAAGCAAACAGGGCACTTTGGCTGAGATGGGTATCATATGAGCAGTGGTGATGAAAGAATGATGCAATGCCCTTGTGTAAGCAGACTGTTGTGAGACAGCTGTGTTGCTTGGGAACAGTGTTGGGAAGGGCAGAGGATACCATTCTCCCCGTTGGGGGCGGCAAGGGCATCAGCTTTCCCAGGCCTGTCTTAGAGTCCAGTAGAACCCAGCCTTCAGTTTAAAATCAGCCGTCTAGATTTGAAAGGTGGAGTGACAGAATGCTTACTTTGGACCAATGAGGTTGAGTGAAAACAATTCTGGGAAACAGTTTGGAAGCACAGCGATGCGTAAGAGGACATCCTCTGTATGGGCTTTCATCAGATAGGTTTTCCTAAGTGTGTCCCCTGTTACATCACAGGATCCCGTTCCCAGTGGCTTTTCTGCAGGAGATGTATTGATTCCTTTGGCGGACGAATACGATCCGATGTTTCCCAATGACTACGAGAAAGTAGTAAAACGCCAGCGGGAGGAGCGGCAACGCCAGCGGGAGCTGGAAAGGCAGAAGGAGATCGAAGAAAGAGAGAAGTGAGTTGTCTGGGCCACAAGGTGCAATTTAAGCTCCTCTTGAATGAGTGGAAATCTGAAAAGCCCTGAACAGGCACACCAGCTGAAGGGACTTTCTGTCTTTTAAATCCCTTTTAAAATTCGGATGGGCACGTGCACCATAGGACGTGTGTCTGATTTCAACGTGTGCCCATTTGCACTTTCAAAATACATTTTCATGGTATTTTGAAGTCTTTGTCTAATAAATTCATAGTGACTTGGTTATTGGAATGGTTTCTGTGCACATAGGTTCTGGTGCTTGGGGAGTCCCTTGATATTGGAAGCCCTGAAAGAGAACGGAGTACAGTGGTGCCTCGCTAGACTGTTACCCCGCATGACAGGTTTTTTTGCTAGACATTATCTTTTAGCGATTGCTATAGCGATTCGCAAAACAGTGATTCCTATGGGGGAATTTCGCTGGACAATGTTTGGTCCCTGCTTCGCAAACTGATTTTCACTAGATGACAATTTTGACAGCTCCCTCCGCACTCGCAAACAGGTGTTTTGGGGACCTAAGCTTCGCAAGACAGCGATTTAAACGCTGATCAGCGGTTCGTAAAGCGGCTTTCCTATGACTGATCTTCGCTAGACAACGACGATTCTTCCCCATTGGAACACATTAAACAGGTTTCAGTGCATTCCAATGGGGAAATGCTTTTCGCTAGACGATGATTTCCCTAAACAGCGATTTCAGTGGAATGGATTATCATCGTCTAGTTGTGGGTTTTCTGAGCCGTTTGGCCGTGTTCTTAACATGAAAGCCTTCGAGAATACATAGAACGGAGTACAGTTTTATTAAGTTTGTAACATCTGTTATACCCCTGTGACAAAATCAGTTCATCCTGGGGCATTAGATAGAAAAAAAAATGAACCATAAGGGAGCTGTTTATGGCAGGACCAACATAACCTGTATAAGGTTGCAGCAAAATATAGAACCTAAGTACTGTTTGTGTTGCAGAGTGCTCTTGAAAGTAAATGTTTTTTGTAATTATTTGTAAGTTTAAAAAAATTGAGAAAAAATGACATATTGGTGGGATGGGAAGGCTTTTGCCTTCTCGACCTTGTTGGGGGTCCCATCTCCAAGCAGCCCAGATGGCAGGGTGACTGTGGAGTCCAGCAGTCTTCTGAGGACTGAAGGTTCCTTGTGCCTACTGTGTTACGTCACTCCAAATTAATGTCTGTCCTAATTTCTGTGTGAATTTCCAGGAGGCGCAAAGACAGACACGAAGCAAGCGGGTTTTCACGACGGCCAGATCCAGATTCTGATGAGGATGAAGATTATGAAAGGGAGAGACGGAAAAGAAGTAAGCCAATTGTTCAGTGGCAGACTGTGTGTGTTTATGAAGGACTGTCATCTCCACTGGAGATGTGGCTTCCACCTCACCCTTTTTCACAGGCCCAACATGAGCAGTCAGTATACTGGAGCATTTGCTGGGGTTGCCTAGAGTTAATGCCTGGCCCAGGCAAGGATTGGCCATTAGCCAGCCTGTAGCCTCTTCCTGCTGCTGATCACTTCTAGGTACCAGCCTCCCTGCTTATCCACACATGGCGCTAGCCTGTTGCTGCCTGTCACTGTTGGATAAGCCCATTTTTGACATCCAAAAAAACTGTAGTCGGGGAAAAAAAGTAACATTTCAAAGGTGGTGCTAGTTCAGCACTGGTTAGACCTCAACTTGAGTATTCTGTCCAGTTCTGGACTTGACACTTCAAGAAGGATGCTAACAAATTGGAACAAATTCAGAGGAGGTGACAAGGAGGATCAGCGGGCTGGAAATCAAGCCTTATGAGGAAAGGCTGAAAGAATTGGCCATTGTTTAGCCTTCAGAAAAGAAGGCTGAGGGGTGATATGATAGCACTTTTCAAATATTTTAATGGCTGTCATAAAGGGGAGGGGCAAGATCTGTTCTCGATCATCCCAGAGTGCAGGACACGCAACAGGGGGCTCGTTAAAGGAAGCCAGTTTTTGGTTGAATATCAGGAAAAACATCCTAACTGTTAGAGCAGTACAACAGTGGAACCTCGGAAGTTGGTGAGTGCTCCAACGCTGGAGGAATTCAAAAAAAATTTAGTCAATCACCTGGCAGATGTGCTTTGATTGTATTCCTTCCTTGAGCAGGGGGTTGGACTGGATGGCCTTGTAGACCCCTTCCAACCTCACTTTTCTATGATTCTCTGAAGGGGGAAGCTGGGACAGTGCTCCGCTCCACCCTACCCAATCCATAATGTTTTAAAGTAGACTTATTTGGCCACCACCAGTGAGTGCCCAAAGAGAGTAGGAGCAAAAGGCTGGCTGTTGTCGATCCACAGCCATCAGAGGCCAGGTGGTCGAGGACATGGGGATACGATGGAGGGCAGTCTATCCAGGGCCTTTCGTAACTGACAGCCATGCCTGCTTCTCTGCCTCAAACTTGGCTGCTGATTGGATCCTTGTTGCGTGCCAAAGGTGACTTGTTTCTAACTGGGACAAGCTGGATTGCTTCAGTCTTGATGACCTTCCCCACCATCCTCCAAATAACACTTACACTGCCCCACTGCTAATGCATGGAGACTCTGAAGGCTTGACCAATAACACTGATATCACATGCAGGAAATTTTTCCATTTCCCCTGAGTCCAGGGTCTTTAAATTGAGACGGATTTGCAGGACGGAGTGGAGAATCAGGTTTCTGAAGGTACTGTGCTGATTATTACCATCAGGGAGTCAGACAGCCTGGAGATATTCCAGGAAGATACCATACTGGCTGTTAGCACTTCTGATTGCCCAAGTTTTCTCTGAACAGAATCTCCAGTTTAGTTGCAGTTGAGTTACTTAGGGAACTGGAAATAATTCATAACTTTTATAAAGCATAGTTCCCGTCATATTTTTTACAGCAGATCTTCTTGCTGAGGGATATTTTTAATGCTCTAACCTTCTACAGGAACTTTTAGCTATGTTAAATCAAACCTCTGTTAATTCACTTAACTTTCATGGTTGCATGAGAAAAACATGACCATCGGGTTCGGTGTTGGCAGTTGGACAGAACAGGTGAAAAGTCATAGACTGTAAGAGCCTTTTTGTGATTCAACTTAATTTAGTAATATTATGCTAGATATTCGCTCCTGCATGTTTCATTGATGCTGTGAAATTAGGTTTGCTAGGGGTTTCAGATCTCAAAGCGTTCAAGGAAATCCATGTGATTCCCATGCATTTTGAAGAAAGCTGTCCAGCGGATCAAGAAGAGCTGTTGTGCGGTCCTCCAGATGTTGCTGGATGGCAGCCTCGCCAACCCTAGCTGCTTTATCATCAGTGATGGAAGTTGTAGCCCAGCAGTGTCTTGAGGATCAAATGCTCCTTGTCGTTGGCCTTGAAGTTCACGGACTCTGGGCCTCTACCCTCCCGCAGCCAGACCCTGTGAACATTATATTAATGGCCGCCAAACGGATGTTGCCGTGTTGTCTGGGATCTGCTGCAAGAATCCGGGTCGGCAGGCTGAGATCTAGGGGTACTTTGCACCTCTGTTTGCCTCTGTAGGCATTGTCACAAACTCCACTGGAGTTGGTTTGATTTGAGGCTTTGTGGAAATGATCTTCATTGTGCTTGACATTATACTGTTACTCCATTGAACTTCCGCACGTCCACATCTTGGAATCATTACTTTTTTTCTGACAGTTTTTTTTTTATATATCTGTATGTGCCTGGGAGATTTGGGGAGTTGTAGACCAAAAAGTAATGTTTTTAATACTGTACATCAGTGGTTCCCAACCCTGGGGTAACTCAGGTGTTCTTGGACTGCTGGATTTGCAGGACGGAGTGGAGAATCAGTGTTTCTTCGCTTTTAAAGGGCCACGAGATTCTGGTCTGTTGCGAAGAAACACTCTGCAGCGTAAGCTTTTGTGAATTCTTGTATCCCTTGTAATATGATTGGGTTTTTTTTGTACAGGTATGGGAGGTGCAGCCATTGCACCGCCGACATCACTGGTTGAGAAAGACAAAGAACGTAAGTAAATTTAACTCTTCATTGAATTTTCTGTAGACTTCTGTAGACCCTCTCCGAAGACCCTTGGGCACGGTGGATGTTCCATCTCAGAATCATTTATTAGCAATGAATAGGCAAACAGAGCCTAGGAGGATTTCACCGTGCAAGAGCTGCAGCTGAGCTGCGATGCCTGAAAGGAAGGCGTAGGGTCTTCTGGTTCAGATGTCTCTGTGAGCCGTACCCTTCGTGAAATAAGCTTTAAGGCGTATGTATAGGCTCGAGGGGAGAGAAGGGCAGAGCAGTGCAGGGGATGTGCACATCAGTCAGCGTGGCAGAGAAACACCTTTCAAAGGAATGCATTGTCATGAATTTAAATATAAGGATTGAACTTCTGCGGGGGGGGAGAATTTCCAGTCTGGCCATCCAGTGGGAGCCTCCCCCCCAGACGAAATGACATAATAAAATGGCAAGATGTTGAGTGGCCTTCTTCCCTCCTGGTCATTGCCCTGCTCTTCCTTTGTGCCTCTGAATGGCACCTCCCGGCATCATTGCAGGTTTCAGGAAATCCCCACCGCTCACCAAAGGAGCAGTGGTGTGCCTTTCTGAGTCAAAAAAAACCAGAAGGGGAACGGCCAGGAGGTTACTCTGCATCTTGCCATTGCATGGGTCATAGTCATGTCATTCTTGGTCTGGGTGGGGACTGGGAGGTCTCTCCCACCCCCACCCCCCAAAAATGCTATTCCTGTTTTATGTGTTGGAAGTGCCGTTTCAGTCTATTAGATGGTGTGGCATCTTGGGGAGCTTGAAAATGACAAATCGATCTGATCTAAGGGAATTGGCTCTGTATTCGTAGGCTGCCTTTCAAGGATGTGCGTGTGCCGAGCTAGGTCTGTGGCTCTCTGCAGTGCCGTACGGCTGTTTGGGATCTTGCTATAGATGGGATTGAATGGGTTTGTGCTGAATCCAGTGTGCAGTGGGGATGGTCACAGAAAAATAGAGGGGAGGGGCAACATTCAAATGAGGTAAGTATGGACCAGCTGTGGTTGGGAACCCCTGCTGTACCGGTGTGTCTACCTGTGCTGAGTGTGTTGCAGCAAAAACAGACCAGAATCTCGTGGCCTTTTAAAAGCAAAGAAACACTCTGTAGCATAAGCTTTTGTGAATTCTTGTATCCCTTCTAATGTGATTGGTTTCTTGTACAGGTATGGGAGGCGCAGCCATTGCACCGCCTACATCACTGGTTGAGAAAGACAAAGAACGTAAGTAAATTTAACTCTTCATTGAATTTTCTGTAGACTTCTGTAGACCCTCTCCGAAGACCCTTGGGCACGGTGGATGTTCCATCTCAGAATCATTTATTAGCAATGAATAGGCAAACAGAGCCTAGGAGGATTTCACCGTGCAAGAGCTGCAGCTGAGCTGCGATGCCTGAAAGGAAGGTGTAGGGTCCTCTGGTTCAGATGTCTCTGTGAGCTGTACCCTTCGTGAAATAAGCTTTAAGGTGTGTGTACAGGCTCGAGGGGAGAGAAGGGTACAGCAGTGCAGAAGATGTGCACATCAGTCAGCGTGGCAGAGAAGCCTGGCGTGCTCTGGTCCATGGGGTCACGAAGAGTCGGGCACAACTTAATGACTAAACAACAAGTTAATGGGGTAACTGTTCAGGTTACTTGTACAATTAAGTGACTGGGGAAAGAGAAGGCTTCCACAATCGCATTAGAGAGGGCAGTTCCTTGTCACTCCTGTCAATAGTGCAGATGAACCTTAAAATAAGATTTCTAAGATCTTACTTTGTTTCGTTGTTTTTCTTGGGAAGGTGTCTAGTCTGATGGTATAAATATAGGCCAGAATCCTATTGGTGTTCTTACACGGTTACAATTAAGTGACTGGGGAAAGAGAAGGCTTCCACAATCGCATTAGAGAGGGCAGTTCCTTGTCACTCCTGTCAATAGTGCAGATGAACCTTAAAATAAGATTTCTAAGATCTTACTTTGTTTCGTTGTTTTTCTTGGGAAGGTGTCTAGTCTGATGGTATAAATATAGGCCAGAATCCTATTGGTGTTCTTACACGGTTTGTGTAACTTACAGAAGTGTTTTTTTCTTCAAGCAGCCAGTAGCACCCAATGGGCAAGGTTGTGTGCCCAGTTGTACAACAGCGATGGGCCCCAGCACCTTATTGGCCAGATGCAATGAGCTGAAACAAGTTACTCAGACCTTGCTTGAGTACCAGTAGGATTCTAGCGATACATATTATTATAAATATGCTATTCGTGCTGTTTTTAACTGCTGTATACTGTTTAACCTTTGCCTTTCGTATATCGTTGTAAGAGTCCTTGGTTTCTGTTAGAAGAGGCTGGAGGATTGAGTAAACCTAATGATGAACAGCGTTTCACAAATGTTGTCGCCCTGATTCCCTTCCAGCTGTGCCCTCGTTCCCATACGAAGAGGAGCCCAGGTCCCGCGGTTCCTCATCCAAAGCTGCCATCCCTCCTCCTATGTACGATGAGCCCGAGAGGCCTCGATCCCCAACCGGGCCCAGCAACTCCTTCCTGGCTAATATGGGGTGAGTGTCCGCGAGTGAGCGGTGGGCGCCATGACTAGCCACTGCCCGCAGAGGGCAGTGTAGGAGAGAAAAATCAGCAGCCCTGCTGGACAGGGGAAACCACTTTGGGGAAGGAGAATTTTTAGAAGCAGAAGGGAGGAAAGATTACAGTGGCTCCTAAGTTTGCAGGTACTTCCTAAAAGAACTGCAGGCTGCTGAGATCCAGTCAGGGCTCTTTTTTAAAAAAAAAAGGTGAGGAGACAAAAGCTGAAGGTGGTTTTTGTTTGTCGTGCAATCCGCGTAGCTACCAAGTTGTTCAAGGCACTCTTGGCTGCATCCTCATGGAGGCGTCTCTGCCAAGGTTTGAACCTTGACTTAGAGTTCTCTGCTTATTGGCCTTTGATCCTGTTGCACCCGGGACCGAGGGTGACTTGAGAGCAGGCAGAAGGGACTGCTTTGGCACTTTCTGGCTGGGAGTCATAGGAAGAGACTAAGGAGAAGCAAGGTGTGTAAGCAGAAGGGAAGACAAGGAAATCTATGGTATATATTTTTGAACGGAGAAGCGTTTAAAGATGCGAGTGCTGTCGTCTGAAATGCATTCTTGAAATGAGCGATCTGTAAATAGCTCTTTGGTTATTAGGTACGTCAGTGGGAGTCCTCAACTTGAGGGTGAGGGACGTAGTTGATTTGCGATTTATCTTTATTTTTTCTTTATGCATTCTGTTGAAAATACTGACTTCTCTTCGGTTGGAAGTACCAGGTCAAGAATGAATTAGAGATAAGCACAGGGAAAGCCTTAGCTGGCCATCTGAAATTCTTGTGTTTTATGCTTACTTTTAGTTAATCTGGAATAGGGCAGCTGCATCCAGGGTAGTGGTTCCCAGCCTTGGGCCCCTAGATGTTCTTGGACTACAACTCCCAGAAATCCTGGCCAGCAAAGCTAGTGGAGAAGGCTTCTTGGGGTTTTAGTCCAAGAACATCTGATGACCCAAGCTTGGGAACCAGTGATCTAGTGTGTTTTACACTAACTAAGGAGATGCCTAAAAGTTAATGTCGCTCATTTTCTTAAGAATATTCTTTTGATGAGCTACTGCAGAAAATTCATCTCTGTGCTTCAGTCAGATCTCTGTAGATTCCTTCAGAGATCTGACACTAATATCATTAACCACAGTGCTGTGTGATCTGTAATTCAATGAGAGCACAGATAATTTAATGCAAATTGGACCGGTGATAAAAATACCATTCCCATCACCCCCATATTTAATAAAAACAACTGTAGTTCGCTTTTAAGTGCAGTTAAAATATGTGCAATATTTTCTTAGAGTGCTCCAACATACGATGCATCCTTTCTGAGTTTAACAAAATTTCATCAAGCAATATATTGTCCTTATTTCTAAGCATAATGAGTGGAACTCTTGTACTAAAGCATCTTCTGTCTACATCAGGTCAGGTTTAAATATGCAAGACCATGTTCCCGAACTGAAGGTGTACTTTGATACAACACACCGTTTGTTCCCTGAGTTTGCTTGCAAACTGATAGTTCTTTCCTGCGTGCATGTTTTTCAAATGTACTGTGAATTTGACCAACCTGATTATTTCCCAGCACTAACATGGAGTCCTTGAGATTGCCATACTTTCTAATCTCTGACATTAAGTCAACTTGGCAGGCGCCAACTGATAGGATAGCCCTTCGTACTACTGCTCTCGTTTTTTATAGCGGCTGTTTGTGGATCAAAACTCATCAGACAGGAATATGGAGTCACTCATCATCTCAGAGTCCTTGAAGGTCACTGGTGTACATGTAGCAGAATGTCGGCAGAGTTTGTTACTCCTAATAATTCTTAGCCAGCATTCATCCGATTTTCCTCTTTCATCCTCTCTGCTCACAGTAGTTTGGACCACTGACCCATTCACTTTTCCTCACAACAGACTCGCGAGAAGTAAGGCTTGAAAGAGGGAGCGGCTGCCCAAGGCGGGCCTCTTGGCTGACCTGGGGATTTGAAACCCAGGACTTCCCAATTCTCGTCCTCGCTAGAATTTGGAATATTATTATTTTAAAATGCTGAAGTTGCTTTTTAAAAAAAGAAAAATCGCCCAGTAGCTAGTACTGAGTGTATTTGTAACAACTGTAGTTCACGTTAATGTTTCAGAAAAATACCTCTCTTTTGCTCTGGCTCTGGATTGTATTCATTTCCCTAAACACTTGTAAATAAATGAAGGGGATAGTGTTCCAGTTACCATTTAAAGTGTAATGCTATAGAGAGTAATCTCATACAACTCCTGCCAAGCTCATCCGTGCCCTGTAATTTCCTGTGGCTGATCATTCAGAATGGCTTTCACATCTGTTTTCAGAGGCACGGTGGCGCACAAGATCATGCAGAAATACGGCTTCCGAGAGGGTCAGGGTCTTGGGAAGCACGAACAGGGCTTGAGCACGGCGCTGTCGGTGGAAAAAACAAGCAAGAGGGGTGGCAAAATCATTGTTGGCGATGCTGCAGATAAAGGTAATTAGCTTATCTAGAAAATGGGATAATCTTGTTTAGGGGTGACTGAATGATGGGGCAGAACCATTTGGGTGATCTGCTGCACATTCTTGCAGATGCGGGGGTAGTTACTCATTATCTGTAATTTCCCTTGCTTTGATCTCCCTTAAATTTCCTCTCTTTGTTTACCTGCAACAGTTTTAACTGCGGATTAAACCGCAGAAGCCTCTGTGCTGCAAGGTCAGGAGACCAAGCAGTCGTAAGATCAAATCCACGCAACGGAGTGAGCTCCTGTCGCTTGTCCCAGCTCCTGCCAACCTAGCAGTTTGAAAGCATATAAAAATGCGAGTGGATAGGCACCACCACGGTGGGAAGGTCATAGTGTTCCGTGTCTAGTTGCGCGCTGGCCATGTGACCACGGAAACTGTCTTCAGACAAAATGTGGGATCTATGTCTTGGAGACGGGGATGAGCACCGGCGGGATCTGTGTCTTGGAGACAGGGATGAGCACCGCCCCTAGAGTCGGACATGACTGGACTAAATGTCAAGGGGAACCTTTACCTTTACCTTATATTGTTAAACTCATTTCTGTAAGGGTCACATTAATAGAATCTTTTCTCACCTTTCTGATTAGTTTCCCATGTCCGTACCACGTCAAAAGTATGCTTTCACTGTGGAGCCTTTGTCCTGAAAAATGGAAGTGTTATTCTTATTATTATAAATTGCCATGCTATGTTTTTACTTTGGTCACTTCTGCATAAGAGAGAAAGCTGCTAATAGGAGGAGCCACTTCCTTTAGAGGCTACAGAGATATCCACAGTGAAAGTGCTTGAGGCCGTTTACAATGTGGACAGAGAATCATTCCTCTGCACTCTTTAATCTCTGGCAGCTACTCAGTTCAGTGAAGCTTTTACACACACACACACACACAAAATCATCCCAGTAAATGTGGTCATGTAAGATTGACTTCCCATATAGTGTTTTAAAGCACAGATTCCCAACCTTTTTTTTAAAATTTATATCCCGCCTATCTAGTCGATTAAGACCACTCTAGGCGGCTTACAACAAAAATATAACAATGTAATTAAAAACAATTTTATATAAGGGGAAAAACTTTGGACAAGATGGGACAGACACTGGGAAGAGGAAAGAGAGGGGAAATCAGGAATTGGCTGAGGGGAAGGCCTGCCGAAACATCAGTGTTTTTAGT